TAGGAGAAAGAAAGAAGGGGCCAAGGAGTCATGAATGACCAAGCTGGTTTATTTTATTTTGAATCTATAAAATGCATCTATGTAACAGGCTCTGAGCACATGAAATGACACTAAATGAACTCAATCACAGGATCCACCAGCTCCCCAGGGGGTTACTTTGAGTGTCCCTATCCCTTTGGGGAATCTGTTCAGCATTAACGGACACTGGCTTTACAGTCACATTGGAAATCAATTTGAACCTCTCCCTCTGATTTTCAAAGCTTCCTGGACATGTTCCACATTTCCTCTCAGACCTCATATTCACCTATTTTTTTCCCCCACATTCTGCTTCTCCAGTCTTGGCTTTTTCTCTGCCCCCTTGCAGCAGATTTCCTGAATAGTTTGATAAATGGGGATGGGGTTGTCGCTTTCATCTTGTGGTTTATGGGGCTCTTGCTAGAATCTCATTTGATGGTAGTGTGCCAACTGCTATTGTCCCTTCATCCAACTAATTTCTTTGGAATGATATCCCTGCCCAAGGTGGTAAGCAGTTACAAAAATCAAAACACTATAAAGCTAGTACCTCTTCATCTTTTTTTAAATCTAATACAGAGCTGCACTCAGATTGAAAGAAACAACCAACAGATTTTTAATAATAGAGTGTAAATGATGCTACACTATATAAAAATACTTTGTTTACATCAGATATGTAGCTTGCATGAGAGCAGAAAAAAGTGTGTGGAAGGATAATGTACCATTTTCTTTTACAGAGTAACAGGCTAGCTAGAGATAATGAATTAAGAGAAAGTGACAAAGAGCAACTCCGTGCAATTTGTACTCGAGACCCGCTGTCTGAAATTACTGAGCAAGAGAAGGACTTCCTTTGGAGCCACAGGTATAAAGAATCATAAAGATGGGGTTCTGGAATTCTCTAAAACACATAATTGACTTGAATTCTGACCTGTTGTTCACTATGTTCCTTGCTATGGTTAGCATTTTAGGAAAGTATATATTAGTTTTATACGTCTATGTAGGAAAGCTGGTGATAGAAGTAATCATTATGTGCCACAGTTCTGCAAACTTGCGTGCCTGGACAGATACCTGTGCCATGCAGAGCCCTGCTGACTTCAGTGGGGCTCTGCAGGCATAAAGGTAAATAATATTTCAGGATTGAGGACCATAGTCTGCTGTGATCAAAGTAAATCTACTTACTGTTTACCTCTAGTTTGTATATGCAAGTTACATTTTTTCTCTTTTACAGACACTACTGTGTAAATACCCCAGAAATTCTACCAAAACTACTTTTGTCTGTTAAATGGAACTCGAGAGATGAAGTAGCCCAGGTAATATACTGCAATAAAGAAACTTTGCTAAAAGACATCATTTTAAACACAGTATTTTGATTTTTAAAAATGATTTTCTTCAACTTGCATGAAAGTGAGCAATCGTTAGTTAGAATATGTTCTGCTCGTGCAACCCATTGGTTGGTGTGTGTTCTGTCCCCCTCTGTGCCTGATCCACAGATGATATGGGTCTGTTACGGCTAATGGCTCCAGAGCCAGGCTATTTAGTTCAAGAGGGAAAAGCATAAGT